AAAAGAGGTAATAATGTTTTTTAAATGTGTGCAGAAATGGACAGACTGACACTAGAAATCAAAAATAGAGACAAGACAGAATATTATGAAATTTGGAACAAAATGTATCAATGGTTGGAAATAAGGAAAAGGAGTCAGAACAGAATATTTTGGGGATTGTAGAATTGGAACTGGATAATACACAGATAAATCTATAAAGGAGGATAACGGATATGTTAATAAGATTAATGTATCTGTGTACAATAAGTAGAAACTGTATTTGTTGTTTTGTTAAAATAAGTATGGAAATGACAAAGCCAGAAAGGTCGCTCTGTGTCCAATGTTTTTAATGTTTATTCAATACAAAAAATAATTATAAAAACATTTTTTTAAAAAGAGAGAGAGAGGGAGGGAGGGAGGGAAGGAAAAGAAAGAGAAAGAAAGAAAACAGAAGGAGGGAAGGAAGGAAAGAAAGAAGGAAAGCAAGAGAGAAAGAAAGAAAGAAAGAGAAAGAGAGAGAGGGGGGATGAGAGAGAGAAAAATGATAGATAGAGATAATAGATGAGAGAGAGAAATGACAGATGATAGATAAGAGGGAGAGAGATAATAGATAGATATATATAGAGAAATGATAGGTAGGTAGGTAGGTAGGTAGATATATAGAAATTAGGGAGTCTTCAGAGAAGATTTTAGTGGTGTGCAAGGGCTGCTGTGTTTGTGTGTGTAGTGGAGAACATAAAAACAACCAGAACAAAAAAATTAATTCAGATGTCCTGCATTTTTAGTTTGCAACAATGCCATGAAAGATTGCTTCAAAGCAACATATAAATTTAAGATTTGGGAGGAGGGGGGGGGAATTGCTTAAAAATTCAAACCCAACAGCAACTGTCGATCCCGTAAGTAGTGTGGCTGTCAGAACTATCTCCAACCCACAATCTTAATCCCGTTTTCTGACACTCAACACTTTGGCTTGTGAAAGGGCAATCAGAACTCCCCAAAAGGAGACTTTACTGTATCTCTGCAGCCTTTTACAAGGAAAACATGGCAGTGATGGTATGAAGTCCTATCAAAGACCCATTGGGGTTAGCTAGCAATAGTTTATTTGCCAAAGGCATTCAACAACGTAGACCAGCCTTCCAAAGTTCATTATCTGAGGTTCCCTCAAAATGGATTCAGGGCAGCCTTCGAGTCTACAAACACTTGAACTCTACGTCACAAAGTATGGAGACAGGACAGTTTCTCCATCCTTCTCCATTTTGAACACTGTTCCACTCTTTTCTGCTCCAGAACATAATAAGGAACCCAGAGATGCTTCCGTTAGGTCCAACCTCTGCTTAAGGGCGTAAAGAGATTAACACAAACACACAGCACATCTGTAATCACTCCGGATGAGAAGGCTTTGCAGTCTCTACATCTTAACACGCTCTATATCGCAACTCACCGTATTCTTCTCCTCGGAGAATCTCCGGAGCGATGTAATTTGGCGTTCCGCAGAAAGTGCTCGTCGTGTCGCCGGGGCCCAATCCTTCCTGCAAAAATGAAACGATTTGAAGGGTGTCGATGAAAGAGAAAAAATGGTTTTGGGAGGGTTTAGATTAACAAGAGTTGGAAGGGACCTTGTAGGTCATCTAGTCCACACACACACCTCTGTCCAAGCAGGAGACCCTACACCGTTCCTGACAAATGGCAGTCCAGTCTCTTCTTGAAAGCTTCCAATGATGAAGCTCCCATAACTTCCGAAGGCAACTTCTGTTACATTGCTTGATTGTTCTCACTGACAGAGGCAGTGTGGGGGGGTGGGGGGGTCGTGTGCACACTGCATTATAGGTGTGGGCAAGTGCATGCACACCTTCAGCACACTTGGACAGAAAGGTTAGCCTACACTGGTATAGGCTATGGACCTCCTCTGTCCTCATCAATAGTTCTAGATACACTACATTGCCAAAAGTATTCGCTCACCCATCCAAATAATCAGAATCAGGTGTTCCAATCACTTCCACGGCCACAGGTGTATAAAATCAAGTCCCTAGGCATGCAGACTGTTTTTACACACATTTGTGAAAGAATGGGTCACTCTCAGGAGCTCAGTGAATTCCAGCGGGGAACTGTGATAGGATGCCACCTGTGCAACAAATCCAGT